TCATAACTGAACAATCAGTTGTATGGAGGCTATAGGTTATAGCGACCCGATATTCGCCATTTTCACTAAGTATTATTTTGATAATGGGTGGAAATATTGCGAATGTTCATGTAAATGGAGGAGTTATCAGAAATCTCATATCTGAACAATCAGTTGTATGTATGGGAGCTATATGTTATAGTGGTCCGATTATTCGGGTTCCGACAAATGATTAATATATTATAAAAATACACCTACCTACCAAATTTCATCCGAATATCTCGAAAACTGGCACACTAGATTGCATACAAACAGACGGACAGACGGACATGGCTAAATCGACTCAGCTCGACGTTCTGATCATTTAAGTATACATTATATTGGGTCTATCTCTTCTTATTCTAGTACTTACAAACATCGGACCAAATGAAAGGTATACAAATAATGGAAGATGGAACATCCGATTATTTTGTTTTGCCTTGCTGTTCGTTTTCGTCTCAACCAAACATAAAAAACTGCTTATTTCATACAATATTCTTAAAGAAGATTTTGTGAATTTGCGGAGATTCCGGATATTATCGGGAAAGGATTTTGGTCCCGCACAGCCCGCAAAATTTTTAAAGACCGAATTTCGAATCCCGCCACGTTTTACGGACTTAAAAAGGGAGAAAGGTTATCAATTCAACGGAATATTTGTTCTTGTTAGGTATGTTACCTGATAACTTTCGACCAAGTTTTGGATTATTCTTTTTTATCGGTTGTGCTTTTTGCTTAAAAACTACTTGTTTTTCTCTAATTTTGAGTGTGACGTGCACAGCTGTTACACAGCTGGACGAATCTGGAGTCATGGCGGATATTGTATTACAGACACGCTTTTTCAGGTTAGGAAAAAATCCTGACGTAATGGAGCAAAACGAACTTCAGATTCGTGTTTAGCGAAAGGATAGTCTGATCCCCGAACCCTCACCCTTTTTTTGAGTGTCTTTTTCCACTGTACGACGGGCCGCCGACCGAATTGGGAAATACCTCTCCGAGCCGTTCGCCACCAAACGGTTTTTCAGACAGGGCGACTCGCTTTCATGTAACTTCTTTAATCTGCTGTTGGAGAAGATAACAGTGAAAAGAGTGATTGCGATTTTTAAACCACAGTGATTTTTTATGACTATTGCGATCGCTAGTTCTTTTAATAGAATATAAATGTTAATAGTTAGATCTAACAAATGATGACAAATCAGTGTTGGTACATGTAGGGATAATTCGCTACCCGTAGGGATTTAAATGGAAAATATGAAAAGAGGGAAAAGCTTCATTTATTCGCTCAAAAAGTGCCATATTTCACTTTATTTTTTATTAATATTTGCAGCCATCTTTACTCGTTGATACAAATTTTGAAATAAAAAACTGAAACAAAATTAACGCGATCAAGCATATCAAACTCCGTACTTGAAAATGTCCATTTAAAACAACTGTGGAAAGGTAATGAAAAAACGCAATATACATACGAACATATTTACAATGATAATTAAAAGTTGTAAAATCACCCTTTCTACCATGATAGAAAAAATCGTCATCCCCACCTTCTGTTGACTAGCTATTGTCAGATGTGATTTTCATTCAGAGTAGAAAAATCACCAATTATTGATATTGTGGCTGCGATTTTTAAATCACAGTGATAAAATCACCAGTAGTGAAATATCACTCATCACTAGAAAATAATAAGAGCTGCAGAACTGAGCCGCTCAGGAACAATATTTTATAAGAGCGCGCAATTGGTGAAAAAAAACCGCGAAGTCTGTTCTGCCTTTTCCAAGTTGGATAAGGAAGCAAAGTGCATGGGTTCGGTGGTATACGAGGACAAGACGAAGTACCTCCTGTCATCAAATAAACAGTCACCGCATTCGTCTTGGCTCCCACCGGCAAAATTGCTTGCGAACACGCGTCAAGGCCAAAATGTACGCTGTTATTTAGCAAATATTTTAACTTAAGAAAAAAAAATGGGTACGATATGATTAGTATAACCAAAGATATTGAGTTTTAAATGTGACGAAGTTTGTTAAATCATTCAAACTCACAACCTTCATATCTCTGAAAGAAAATTTTTTTCGACTATATCCGGAAATATTTATTTCCTTATTTCGTGCATACAACTTTATATACATGAAATGTTTTAGCCGAATCTAAATCAGAGTGTCCAGATTTGGCGATTTAGCGCCAATTTGGCGATTTTTTTTATATTTGCGCGTAAAAATTTAGGATATCGCCATTGGCGATTGTTGGCGATTTTTTCCTTCAAATAAATTTTTTACAATTATAAAAATATACAAAACTTAGTTTTCAACGATAACTTTACAGACGACCCTAATGAACTGCGTGATAAACTTGTCTTAAGTATATTGAAAGACTGTCAAAAATGTTTAATCATCGAAGAACTTTTGAAACTAGGTAATCGTCAATTAAATACTTTTAAAAAAAGCTTTGATTTTTTCACCAGAAAAGTTTTTGAATCATAAGAGGGCGAGTTTCAGGGATCTGCCAATTAACTATTTGACTTTGAAGGAAAGAGAAGCTGTGGAAACTGAATATTTAAATCTTTTAACTTTCCCATGGAATAACTTTTCTCAGAACGGCATTCCATCCGACTCTGAAAAATTTTGGATAATTGCTTACGGAGTGAAAACCGCAACAGGCAATAAAATGTTTGAAAATATAAGTAAAGTAGCCTTCATATTATTATCCTTGCCGCACTCAAATGCTTTTGTTGCGCGCGTTTTTTCCGTAAGGAATTCAACAAAAAACTTAGATTCGAAATAGGATTCAATAGTTCGAATGAAATCTTATATGAAGGCTAATAGTTTCTGCTACAAAACGTTTCCTATATCAAACAGTATGTTATCAAGGTTGAATAGCTCAACATATGAAAACAACACAAATGTAAATGATTCAGACGCTATAGGTGATTTTGAAGAAATTGTGGAAATAGCTGATCTCGCCTTATTATAGCTTTTTATTTTATTTTTAGCCGATCGCTTAAAAGCGGATTGTGCGATTAATCAATTAATATGAGTTATAATAAATTTAATAATTGCGCAGTCCAATTGCAAAATGTGTTGATACAAATATTTTTAAAAAGTATGTTTGTACATCATTATTATATAAGTTGTTTGTGTTATTTATTATTACCCTGAAGGTATTATATTCGTTTTTGGTTCTAAGAACTATATTACAACAAGATCTTATTTTTAAAATAAAATAGTCGATTTCATCAATTTTATAAAAAAAAATGCGATTTTTGGCGATTATTTTCACAGAAATTGCGCTTTTTTTAAACAATCTGGACACCCTGATCTAAATTATGAAATCAAAAAGCACATACGTATATATACATGCATGCATATGAATATGCAGAAAGATATATATAATTTAAAAATATGTATATAGAATTTAAATATATGGGGCGTTCCATACCAAACCGGACGGGGTTTACATTTCATGTGTTTGATTTATTTCAAATTTTTAGAGTTGATGCATAAACATAAACAATAAAACAATGTGAAATTTTAGTAATACATTTTTACAAACTTTACAGCACAAAAACAAAACAAATCTATTTAGTAGTTTTCCAAATATCTCGAGAACGGGGCGAGGAAAAAATTTGAAAAAAATCACACATCCACACATCAAAATTCTCTATGAAAAGAAGTATTCATTTTTTTTCTAGACACATTTTTCATATGCAAATTTTTTGATAAAAAAATTAGTTTTTGAAAATATGCCATCTCAAAAACAATTTAAAAAAAATCACAATGGTGGCGCTGAGTATTGCGCAATATTTAAGTATAGTATTATAAGGTGCACTCTGTAATAATTTGAGTTATGCATTTTTTTTTTTTACACCGAAGTTCAAAAAGCCGTCTGCATAAAAAATATTAAAAATCAACGCAATTTTGCAGTAGCTTAAAACTTGCACGTTATTTTACTAAAACATAATGGGCTACAAGACTACATACTCCAAAAAATTCTAAAAACAATTAAAAAAATTTGTAAATTTTTAATGTACTCATCTTACTCAACTTCGGTGCAAAAAAAAAATCATAACTCAAATTATTGTAGAGTGCACCCCATAATAATATACTCAAATATTGCGCAATACTCAGAGCTATCATTGTGATTTTTTTATATTTTTTTTGAGATGGCATATTTTCAAAAACAATTTTTTTGATCAAAAAATTTGTATGCAAAAAATTTTTCAAGAAAATTTGTTTTCTTTAAATATTTGTTTTCATAGAGAGTTTTGATGTATGTATGTGTGATTTTTTTTTTAACTTTTTCAGCGCTCTGTTCTCGTGATATTTGGAAAACTATTAACTCGATTTGATTTGTTTTTGTGCTATAAAGTTTTTAAAAATCTATGAATCAAGCTCACATTTCACATTTATTTATTATTTATGTTTATGCATCAACTCTAAAAATTTGAAACAAATCAAACACATGAAGTGTGAACCCCGTCCTTTTTGGTATGGAACGCTCCATACATAGAATTTAAATATGTGTATATATATTTTAAACCCCTAATTTGATTAGATATCATTATCAAAACGCCTAATACTAGATTTAATTAATAAAAATAATTTCAACAAGTGTGCAATCAACTTTAAATATTTAGCATAGATAATGTTTAATTGAATGCTTTCTTTTTTATCAAAGAAAGTGAAAATTACATAAATGTAGCATGCATTAAAACTTCAGAAAAAATCTATCAATAGTAAAAATTGTAAACAAAGATAAAGCAATACTTAAATATTGGACGAAACACTTAGAACTTATCGGTTATTCGCATACTCAAAGACCGATGCAAAGATCGACAGTTTTACGCGCAGTATGAATTACCTACATGTTTAGTAACTTTTACTTTTCTTTTAACAGCAAAATTACAAAACTTGCATTTTTAGTTATACATATGAATGTATATATTTCGAAAACTGTTGAAAACTTTGCATCGTATTGGTGCCACAATACATTACCAGACAATCCGCCGACGTCCATCTTTTTCAAGTTCTTTGCTTCTAGAATGACTACAGTTAGTTTGCCAGCGGTTGGTACATAACGCAGTGAGAAGCAGATGTCACCAAGCTTTTCCTAAAGGTATAAAGAATTTTTGTTTAAGTTTTAGAGGAAATAGAATGAGCAAGAGAGAATGAAAGGCAAACGATTTTATTATTAAATGTTTAATTTTTTGAAAATATGTATGTAAAAAGAGTCTTTTCTCATAATTAAAATATTAACACTAGTACACAACATACATATGAATTATCGGTTGGGTACATATGTACATACACATCAATATGGCTTTTATACATTAATATTTGTAGGTAAATATGTATATTTCTAAGCTTATATAGCAGCATATTCGTTTTGACTGCAGTAGATACAGTATACAGATTAAGTTATTTGGTAAAAATGTTGAACACATACACACCCAAAAACACTAAATTACACACATATATAAATATAGTTCCACAATTCGAGCTTTCACACTGCTATGGTACTTTATTTTAACTACGTACATATGTATAAGAGGTGTTTTTAAAAATTAAAACATTTCTGGGTGGTTGGACTGAGATATTTCTGTTCCTTTCAACCTAACAATAGCTGGGATGATATTTACTGGAAATTGGATAATGAAAAGTCGGCGCGAAAATCAAGTAATTTTGAGCATGTACATATCTACTAAAAATATTTTCCACGTTTTACCAATTTGATTTGAGTGTGCTCGCCTTTTTAAAAAAAGGTGGCCATATTCAGAACTAAACGTGAATCATTAGCAGAATAAACACATAAGACTGATTCAAAACAAATCGGCTAACGTTTTTTTTAATAGCCCCTCTTCCATACCCCCGGGGATGTCAAAAGATGCCTGTTAAAAGAGCAACCCTTTATATTAAGTTTAAAAGGCCGCGCATCGCGGATTTCTATTTTCCATATAAATTACTTGGAAAAAAAATAGTTTTTAACTCTGAAATTTGTTTCTACGCTCTCGTATCATTTTTTGACAAATAAAAAAACTGGAATGATTAATTAATTTGTCTGTAGCTATCAGTCCTATAGGAGAGTGATGTATACAATGTTTATGGAGAATTTTATTAGCTTTGCCTTGACGTATCTCATTTTAAGATTGTTAAATTGGTTCGTAAGATATACGTGATTAAGTGGAACCACTTTTTGTTTTAAGCTGAATAACGGTAAATTGCAAATATCTCGAAAACGTATCCATAGAAAATAAAATTAACTCCATTTTCGGAATCACCCAGCAACTCTACATAGAAATTGGTTAGTGGCATCCATTAAACATTTTTGCTGTAAACCAGTGTACTTATTATTGAATATTTATTAAGTAAAAAAATTTAGATTTTGCACAAATAATCTTCTAAAACAATGACTATTTTAAAGTTTTTTATTGTTGTTTTAGAAGAATATTAATAATGACATAAATTTAACTTTCAGTTTGAGTAAAGGTTTTTATATCTACACACGTATCCTCTGGGTAGCGACACCCATTTGGGAGCCACGTCAAAACGCCGACCAATGAAAGCAATAAATATACCTCGGATGAGACCCCCTTTTGATAGTGACTACGGCATACGTATAAAGGACTATAATTTAGGGCATGCACTAAGAATTTCCGGACCCTTAATGGGGAAGTTGGCGCTGACTGGCTGGTTGATGTTTTCGGGAAGGCAAGGGCTGACATCACCGTCTTCCAAGGAATACGATAGACGGGGCAATACACAGAAATCGTCAAGCCGTGCGACGTCTGCTACAGCTTCTGGGAGATAGTCTCTGTGGCCGAGTACTGTCGTTTAGCCCGGCGGACGAACGTCTAACAACAATACGCAGCAAAGCAAGATTCTTCAACATCTCGCTCATTTCCGCCTATGAACCGACGAAGGAAAAGTACGAGGCGTCCAAAGATACCTTCTATGAGCGTTAGGAGCGTATATACGGGCGCTGCCCTCGTCACGATAAAATCGTACTTGGTTATTTCAATGCCAAGGTGGGCAAGGAAGGGAATTTTGGCGCCAGTGTCGGAAAATTCAGCTCCCACCGTGAAACTTCCGATAACGGAATGGGGCAGATCGACTTCACCGGGCCCGAAACAACAGACGACGATTTATTCGCCACTCGACTCTCACACACGTTTTCTGAGAGAATTCTTCAACAAACCCACACACGCGAGCTATGGAACACCATTTCCTGTTCATTAAGTGCCGCCACCGAAGAAGTAGTCGGATTTCAGCGAGCGTCATAGAACAACTGGTGCGAAGAGGAATGCCAAGAAGCTGCAAAAAAATATGCTGCCTACAGGGCCACGCTGCGATCGGGCGCAATGCGGGCCATGTGTAACAGTTATAGGGAACTGAAGAAGGAAGTGAGGTATTTGCCGCAATAAGAAGAGATGGGCCGAAAGATGTGAGTGCGAAGAGCTTGAGATGCTGGCCGACAGAAAAAACGGCCGAAAATCTTATCAGACATACGGAGGGTTTCAAGACCAAGGCGAACTCCTGTTAGAACAATCAAGGGGATGTTCCACCGCCTGACTATGACGAGGTACGATTAGCAATTACGCGGCTGAAAATAAAATTGGTCCTGGAGGTGAGGACCTGCCAACTGAGCTATTCAAGTACGGCGGCGGGGAGTTGATAAACTCTTATGCGGAATATGGTCAGATAAACGCATGCCCGAATTTAAGTGCGCTCTGCCCAACCCACAAGAAAGGCGTTCTCTCCATACGCGCCAACTACCGCGGGATCAACGTTCTAAGCATAGATTACAAGGTCTCATCGAGCGAATTGTGTGAATCAAATCTTGGAAAAGACTCGCGAGATTCGGATCGACACACACTATCTATTTTTCTATTTAAAATCCGCTTTCGCCAGCATGAAAGTAGTTATCTTTATGTCGCGCGGTCTGTCTTTGTTAACTCCGCAAAACTAGCACGGCTGTATAAAATGACGCTGAGCAATACAACCTGCTCCGTCAGATTTGGGAAGGATCTCTCCGATCCGTTTGCTTACAAACGGGTTTCCAGACAGGGCGACTCCCTTTGTGTGGTTTCTTTACGCTGATAAGTGTTGTCACTTCAAAAACCCAATAAGTGCTAGATTAGTAATAAAAATAGTGGTAGATCTCTACAAAGTGTGGTAGAATATTTGTAAACTTTCTGTTCGTCGAATTACACTACATTAACGTAAAAATTTTCCAAAAAATATATATATCAGGCCATGAAGTACTATTCAAATGTACATAGATAAACTGCATTCTAAGTTTTGTCCTATCGCCTCATTTTGTTTTCCCACTCACATAGATATTGTCGGAATTTCCAAGAAACACTTTTATAGAAACGACTCATGTCCTTAACGATTGGCCTGTTTAAGTTTTCAGGCATAGTGCGCAAAGCTTTTTCAAAAATGTTATTTTGCGACTTTATTGTGCGAATTTGTGTTATTGTTTTTTTTTAGCCATTTAGACGATAATTAGTTCAGAGTTATATTTAGGTGTCCTTTTATGGGTCCCCAATGAAAAATATTTCCCTAAGCCGTGGTACAAAGCTAAAATGAATGTGGTGCAAGCAAATTTTGGGAAAGCGCTCATAGCCGCTTTTAATTTTCCTTTTCAACGTTTAAAAAATCTTGAGTGGAGTGGTTTGCACATATTTCACTATACCCCTGTCTCTTGCATAGTATCTAATGTTTTTTGCTTCCTTTGCACTTTATTGTCATTATATGCTGTGATTTTGCAGAGAGATCAAGCAATTTATGATTCTTGTAACGGTCTCATTTCGCTGCTATGTGAAACATTTTTTCGCACTCGTGGGCTATCCTTTTAGTGTTTTCCTATTCTTTAAAGTCGACATTTCCTTTGTAAATAAAGTTTTTTTTAAGTCTCATAGAGAAAAAATTAAAAAGCACGTTATTTTTCGTGACATTGAGTTTCGGTATATAAAATTTACAAGAAAATTTTCAGAGCTCGTTCGCTTTCAAGGAAATTATTTCAGCATTATAATATACAACGAGGTAATTTTTAGTGTAATGCTTGTTAAGATTGCGCAGATTTTGATATACTCAGTTTGGTTTACCAGAATTTTTTAAAATCTGCTTAGAAATTGTCTGCATTTCATTCCGCATACGTTATAAAACGTACATATGTTATTTTTAATTTGTTCTACTTTATTTCTTCCTACAGCAACAGGGGTTTTCGCTTGTTGAAGCTTTATCGTCGTTCGCTAAAAATTTTTGAAAAACTTTACAAAAGTCGTCAGTGTCCAATTGCGTAAGTCAAAATTTTACAAATGTTTGACGTGTTAAAAATGTTTCTTCTTTCAGTTGCGTTCATAGTGATTGTGCATCCTTCGGTGGCAGTTTTCTTGCGCCATTCACAATAGATAATCAAAATATAAAAGTCTTAACCTTGATTTGCTCCTCAAAAAACCTTACGTTCCTTACCCTCTTGTGTAGATTTTTACACATGTGTATGTATTTTTCAATGTCTGATGTTAATATGCGAAATAACTTTTTAACTGCAAGTCAATTTATTCATGCGAAAGATGAATAAATAATACTAAAGATGTATAAGGGTGTTTTCGTTTCTACCGAAAAATCTCGCCTTATCCATTGAGCCTTTTTCTTTTCGCGTTCGATTCTAAAATAATATAAAAACCGAATTTTGTGTTCGTTTCTTGAAATATCACGCTCTTGTAAGACACTTTATCTGCACTTTGAAGCTTTGTCAGGGGAGATAGTTGCCATGAAAATGAGATGGTGGATTAAAAGGACAATATTATTGATTGCATGAGCTTGACACGGACAAGAAGACGAAACATGCCTTTCTACAGGGTTGAGTGTAACATCAAACACATATTGCATCGTGGAAGGCAACATTAGGTACTTTTCTGATTTATCAAAATTTAAACAAACTGAAAACTTCACTGCGCTCGTTCTACTTTTGTTGCCTTTGGAAATGCTTCACGGGCGATTTATCAGGAAATGTTGTATCGCCAAGAAAATCGCCTCATGTAAGTGCAGCTTATCCTTCATGAACGCAATAGAAATTTTAAAATGGTTGGCAGCACCTTCTGCTCT